ACCCGTATTCGGGTGACAGCAAAAGTTCTCATCAGACCACGTCACCCGTAATTCGGGTGACGCTGATTTGACTACTTACAAAGGATTTCCGAAAATATTTCGACAAATATTCTACAGGGGGTAATGAAACTATTGAATTCTTATAAAAATGGTTTATTCAAAAAATTATTCGCAGTGTATAACATTAAAGCATTCTCTGCAAAGTTAAGGTTGATCAGGACAGCTTGGACAAAAAGTTGTTTGTTTTTTCAGATATGCTCGTGCCTCTGATCGGTCCATTTCGTATCTTTTATTTGAACTGTAGCTTCCTCAGTATCATCAACATTTCTTTCTTCTTCCATGACCAATTCTCGTACAATCTCGTCAATAGCATCTTCATAACATTCATTATCACTAAGATTGTATTTATCAGTATCCAAATCAGAATCTGACGATGTAATTTTATTTATGCTTCTCCTTCCGGGCAATCCGATCTCTTTTCATTATTGAAAAAAAATAAGGGCAGAGATTTTAAGTTATACCATTCGGTACTCGGCAAAGATTCCAACTGTTCATGCAGGAACAGAAACAGATATGAATTAACAGCGCACGCTTCCTATAGCGGCACGGGTGGCCTGTAGAAGATTTTGTTGTAAATACGCATGGCAGTCAATGTGTTAACCACTGATGAGATTCAACCGTTTGACGCTAGTCCATACGAACCGATTATTAACCCTTAGCACTCCGAACCATTCTGGATGTTGGCTACCTCAGCGCCACTTTTTGGCAGAAACGGGCATTTACAGACCTTCGTATTATTTAGTATGGTTTTGGAACTAACTAACATATTATAATGATATTGGGCTTATATGAATTTGGCTGAAATCGAGAAATTTGCAAAAAAATCAATATTTTATTTTTTATAATTTTGTTATTATTCGTTTTGTAATTTTGTTTTGTTGTTGTAATCGCTATCTATGCGAACTCTTTCTCTCGTCGCCTTGTTGCTCGGACGATATCACTATCACTGCTATCAAAACGATAGACTAACTGTAGAAGAAAACCTTCTACAGTTAGAGTCTTTCTAACATATCTGTATAAACGTCTATCTGAAGCTCATCTTCACTACTACTTGTGTCATGAGACTCATTCGTGTTTGAACGTTTTGCCATTGTTCTAATCAAAAATATGAATAAATACATAGGTTGAAAATTTCTAATTGTTATTACTAACTCACAAGATAATATTTACCAAATAAACTTTCACCAAACAATTTATTTACCAAGAGAAGAATCACTTTTCCGATTTTCTCACTCGTTAGATCTATCCATACCGCTCGACGCTTCAAACCAGACTGAGTTCAGCTTTGAAAATCTTTTCCTCCAGATTTTATGATTATAAATCTCACTATACAGTGCGTGCTAAGTTCGCATACCGATCTTTCTTCTACGAACTTGCCTTATCGCTCTTTTCAAGTGGCGTCTTTGAAGTGCTCGGACCGTCGTGAGCACGCCTCTCACGTTCTCGTCGAAACTCGCTGACATTTCTTGTATATATCTTAGTAATTTTACTATATTTTGATTTGATTTCTTGTGCCATTTCAAGAGTAAACTTCAGGGAAACATGCACGTCTCAAAAAGTTGCGCTGAAACAACTCAATTCCCCGTAATCACTAATAAACTTTAATGTCCCACGAGAGGGGACATCCGAGTGATATGCTAGAATTACGATGTCCCACGAGAGGGGACAGCGGAGTGCAAAGGGTTAAAATTTAGTAACTCCTAGCAGCACTACGATTGCTTCCACAGCTACGTTGATTAATACTTCTCGGTCGTCAATAAATTTTTACAAGAAATTTTGCAAGGAAGATCATTTATATTTGTCTATATTAATTGTAATTGCCAAATATTGACAACAATACTAACACCCATATCTATCCATAACATCCATATTTAACAGACTACGTTCGAAATCTTCGTGACGAGTCTGGCATGCTACTATAATGCAAGAGGTTAAGTTCACCAAATCGGTACCTAATGTAACCCAATTTGTGTCTGAATATTTTTCAAAGGTTAGTTTTACTTACAATTGGGATGTACAAGAAATCCACTTCTACTATCATTTTCAGTATGCTTACGATATGCAAGGTTATGTCACCTAGCGTTTGCACGTCAAATATCTTTGTTGATTTTAAAGATACGTCAAAAATAGGCCAACACAATGCCATCAAAGATATCAAGATCACCTTAATTTTTTAAACAGAACTTTTAGTCCTTTTTGTATCGTGTTTGAAATAAAAATGTACTTTACTTGCCATCTCTCCTTGATTTTAAATTGAGACGCACTTACAAGATAAGGTTAAACAGTGACCGATCGATGTTCATCGAGACGTAGTATTTTTTTTTCTTATGTGCGATGACTTTCTAATCATTTCTGGTATTTCAGATTGTATGCGAGAAAATATTTCTCGGTTGGACTCTCTCTGGGACTATCATAATACCCGGACTACTTATGTCAGAGCACACCACCAGCACACTGGCAGTAATGTTGCGGCAATGTGCGAACCCGGCCGCTGACGTTGGGTACTTGCCTCGCGCTGCTGTGCCAGAAAGCTTGAAAACACGGCTGTACAATATGCTACACGAAATGGAACAAGAAGTCGCAGCTTCCGTGTAGATATTATTTCGGATTTTTTAATGCGAAACTAGCGATCAGTGGTTGGCGACTATTTTATAAGTCATGTTCATGATCTTTTCACATAGAGTCGCTCGTAAAAGAATTCGTATAAACCTTTTTCAAATTGGACTGAATAACTTGGATTTTCTTAAGATGGTAAAAGTAGAGATGCGGCTATATCGATTATCGATAAAATTATTGATATTATCGATGTATCTTAACTATATCGTACATTTTCAATTTACTATACTGTTTACAGATTGTTTATTCAATCAAATCTAAGTCTTCGGACATTAAGATTAATATAATAAACAAGTCAACAGTTTAACAATTTTAAGAGTGAAATATTTTTAATAAATATTATTAATAGGAGGATGCTATGAAAAACTTTTTTTTAAATGTAACTCGACATTAAGACTGCTTAACGAAAAAGTTGCTAACGAAAATAAAACGACGTAAGGGTGTAATGAGAAGGGCCAAGTTCTGCACTCATTTAGGAAAACGTAAAAAGTTTAATCGCGAGCCACTGATAATGAAAGTTTCGTCTAGAGTGGCCTCTAAATTCTAATATGTAAGCAGACCATGTAGAATATCTCATTTTAATTAATATATGGATACACGTATTTATTAATAACGTCACTGATAAATACTTCCATGAAAAGTCAATGCGTCGTACTTATGCAAATTAATAAATTACTTTATAATAAATTATTTTTGATAAGTTAGAAATATTTATTAATGTTAATCAATGTTGTGGGTATAATTATAAGTTAGAGATACGATACTGTTTGCAAAGTTATTTACATTAGATAGTTTCATTCAAATAATTATGATTAAGTAAAGACACGACTGTGTGTGTATCCGTATATCGATTAAAATGAGTCGCCGACATAAGTAGATGAATTTCTCATAGTTACAAAGTTGTTCCTATGAGAAGAATCGAATCCTAGAGCTTGTTACCCCGGCCTTGCAAAATACTTTGCATTAAGTTTCAAGGTTAGTGTACACAACATATAAAGTACCTCGGCTCAGCAGAGGGTAAGAAAGATTTTTATAGTTTCGAAGAAAGGAACAATCTTTGTACCTTAACAGTGTAAGCAAATAAGTGACCATTAGAGGCTAGTGATAGCAATAAGGGAAAATATTATAACATCAATTATTACCAACATCGAGCACAAACATAAACTACTTTCACTTAATAGCAGCCTTATTACCGAGTAATTTAAATCTACTTGATACGCTTATATAGGAGCCAAAGTACAAGAATATTATTACTTTTAATATGTATATTGCCGCACGGCTTAAAGCACTTAAGGCGGGGGGAGAGCACCTTAAGGTAACAAACACGTCAAATATTACAATTTTTTCAGAGATGAATGCAAAACGAGAAAGTCGAATTCTTTTTTGGCATAAACGCGTTAGCTGTTTGTGTTTTCATTTTTTAAGTCAAAATGTTACGAAATGACGTAATTATCTTTTTCCATAGCTTACTGTTGGTAATATCGATTGAACTGACCAAAGTTTGATAAGCGATGAAAAAAAAATGTCTAACGGACATATATTATGTACTTAATAGACATATGTATACCATGTATGAATTTTCAAAAGTTTCAATTATTACAGAAATGGCAACCGATTGAAATGCGAACACTTGTGTTTACTAAAAAAGAATCATCTTTCAATGTTTATAAAAATTAATTGAATAGGATGCTGAAAAAATTGTACGGTACGTTGGCGAATACTTTCTACGGAATATTTTCTCCAAACAACAAAGTCAGGAGATTTTGTTTTGCTATAATTTTGTTAAATGTCAGAATTTTTAAACACAATGCTCTGCAGACCTTCAGAAAACGAAATAAAAGATTCAGTTGTCTCGAACCATTAAAGTGGCCTACCCCCCTCAAGAATAATATTAATATTAAAATATCGATTTAGCTCAGTAGAATTAAGAAATTTTAATGTGTTACGTTGATATCGATCAATTTTGGATTGTGGAGACTTGGACTTTCAAGTTTATTGAATATTCAATACTGCATTTAATAAAACATTTTTGACAGAAATTGATCGTTCCGCATTTTTATGTACATATATATATGTACACATATTGTTTGTGATCTTATAGACCAAAATATTTATACATCTAATTTTCAAAAATAAAAAATACATGCCTTAAAATGATATTTTTATTTACACTTTCCTATCGAATCACATGAAAATATACATCACTTTTAAAGTGATAGAAAAATAAAAAACGACGATTTTGATGATAGATTATACGTATAGATTCTACAGAAACAAATCTTGGGAATCTCCATCACAGGTAGGATCCTCTGAGAGCAGACGCTCCTGTTCGATCTGTGAAAAAGTCTATATGGACTTCAAAGGGATTGAGAAATTCATTTAACACATAAATAAGCTAAACACAAAAACTTGCATGTTTCTTTGATATCCTCTTTTGACATATACGGCTCTATTGGAAACATTAATACAGCATTCTCCCATAACTGACCAAATGATCTCTACCATAACTGTCATTTTATTCCCACCACTGGAAGACCCCCCTTAAAACCAGTTAAGCATTAAACGCGCTCAACGACCGAGCCAGCAAGTGGTCGAGTGTCCGCGAAAGTCTCACTAAACAAGCTAATTAAAAGATTGCAACTTTTCTTATTTTTAATTCTTTCTTATGAAACTTTTACCATCATAGCGGCACACAGTGGACGAAAATTCTCAAAACGTGGCACAAATTCGTTTCCTACGGAAACATTACTTTACAACTTTTATAATGTAGCTTTAGAACAACAACAACTACTATTACAAACATCTGCAACATGGACTATTTATTATATAAATAATAATATAAGATTATAAAAAATAATATAAAATTAATATATAGAATTTATTGTTATTTCTGTGCATAATTCTTGATTTTTTAAAGTTTTATCCTGTAGGTATTGTTCAATGTGGTAAATAGTTTATTTTAAGTTAAGGACGTATATTAAGTTAAAAAAATAAACAAAACCATAAATTTTAATGCTAATTAATCATTTTTTTATTTCTGATCGAGGTGTTACGAATCTCGCTGAATTTTTATTTTCCAATTCAAAGTTTACATAATAAAAATGTAAGTTGCGACTTTTTGCGACCATGGGAAACGAATTTTTGCCATGTTTTGGAGATTTTTGATTACTGCGTGCTTTTTAAAATTTCATAACTAGCAGCGACTATAGCCACAAATGGCACACCTGGCTACATTTAAATATTTAGCTTCCACGCCTACACCAACAACTCCTGTTAATCATCGAGACTCCGAGGGTCGTTTTTGAAGGAACCACTATTGCATCGAGTTCCTCGTGCTTGCCTTTCTGTATGTTCTTTCTATATTTGCGAGCTGAGTACATAGAATATGCAACCCTTCGGCGTATCTGTCTCACAAAGCTGAGATGCACATTATATTCTTCTGCAGCAATCAAGACACTTATCCTGCACTTATGTTTCGTCAATACGTCACTTCCCTCCTCTATAGTCAGGAGACGTACAGATATCACGCTACACTTCGCCGTAACGTCGGGGTCAAGATAGTAACAGAGATACTTGCGAGAGGTTTCTCTAGACAATAGCACTTGTTCCACGTCTCAAACAATATTTGATTTGTTACATCCGAGTTATCGAGGCGATTAAAAAGCTGCTTGTCCCAACATCGTCTCTACATCACAGCAACCACCCGCATCCACGAAAAGTAAACAAAAGAGTTGGGATCTCTAGGAATAATTGCGATGAAGAAAGAACAATATTGACCTAACCGCAGCAAGCAGTCTATCCAAGAAGCCATCACCTTTCCCTAGAAATTTTAGTATTTTCTTCCGAAAAAATTGTTTATTTATTTAAAATTATTTCTTTAAAAAATCATGGAACTTTTAAAATTTCCGTTTACACATTAAAATCATGCAAATCTTTGTTAATATCATTTTTGGTTCTTGAGGTATTTCAAGAACCAGACAATTTCTGAAGTATTTTCAAGACTTTGCCGCGTTTTAAACTGTATTTTAGCACAAACAAAAGATAGAATTCCATTAGGCATAATTTAATCTGCTTGCGCGAAAGATTTCATGATTTTGGGAATTTCCGGGTTGGCGAACTTCCCCTATCAACGAGTATGGTTGCGGTGACTGTAGCTATTACTGGAGTATGGTCAGAAGACAGATCAAAGTTAGGTATTGATTCTATGTAATAAGCTGACATTCCGTTGATAATGAAGAAGTCCAACAGGTCTGGAATTTTCTGTGGATCCATTGGCCAATAAGTGGGCGTTTCGGTTGAAATGACGGAGTAGTTTTTTTCCTCCACCAATTTTGCAAGCTCTCTGCCTCTGGTGGTGGATACCCTGGAGCCCCACGTGACGTGCTTGCTGTTGTAGTCACCGCCAGCTATGAATTTGGAGCCTAGCGTGCAAAAGAAGCCCTCGAAGTTGTCTTTCTTTAAGTTGTATCTCGGCGGACAGTATATTGCTGAAATTACGATGTCGTATGGGAATGCTTTAATTTTCACAGTCGTGGCTTGAAGATAAGCTTCGGAGTAGCCTTGCAGCTCGTAGTGAGCAAGAGAATCTTTGACTAGTACGGCTGATCCTGCATGGGCAGTTTTGTCTGGATGGTTGGTGTGATAGCATTTGTACTGTGGAATTTTGAAATGAGATTTATCTGTAAAATGTGTTTCACTAATTAGCATTACATCTATTAGGTGTAGCTTAAGAAAAACCTTTATCGCTCTTTTGTGCTGGCAGATACCGTTGGCATTCCATAAAGCTATTCGAAGGAAATTAGCCATTACACGTTTTCCATTAGTTAACATGTTATTCGGTGTTTTGTTAGAGTAATTGGTTAGACAGTGGCCTCAAATATAGCTTGCAAGAATCTGAAAGTGTGAGTGCGACATTATCGACGATTGCCTCTAGATTTTGTCAACGACTCGAGAGGGGATGCTGGAACAAGTTCGAAAACGAGGCAGCGGCCGAAGGCGAGTCGAAGCATAAAACGCGTTAACGAGCGACAGAAAGCGAGCAATGCAGAGGCGAAGTTTCGGTACCGAAGCGGAGTGTCGAAACCACCATTTAGGTATGTTCAGTATATGTATTAAATAAATTATTTATGCTGTAACAGAACGTTTCCATTTCCGTCAAATCGCCACTGATTCCGCAGGAATCATTCATGAATTTGCCTAGCATTTTCCTCATGTTTTCTTCGTCATTGGTTCGATGTAAATGTGTACTAGTAACCTCCTCGTGGTTATCTTTTTGGTTCGATGGGCGTATTGGTGACTATGTATATTGAATTTACCAATAAGTTTGAGTAGATGGTATAATTAGCTTTGTCTCTGCTGTTTTTGTATAGACTATAGACTGATGGTAGTATTCACAGTCTTTGTAGTTTGCTCGGCGAGCTCCACCGCATAAGGCTATGAGAAAGAAAAATACCATTAGTGCTGCATTAAAAAGCTATTTCATCGACTTTTCTTCTATCGACGTCGAATAAAAAAGAATTGATCGCAAAAACGTGTTTCTTTGCCAATTAAATTGTGAAAAGTTTCTTAGTAACAAATTTCATACGAAAAAGAATTGTCCTAAAATATCTATTGACAAACGATGGTCATAAAAATGGCAAACAATGGACCAAAAAAGTATTTGATACATAAAAGAACAGTCATATTGTTACGGATTAATTGATTTTATGGATGTGGAGATAAGTGTTCCAAAAATGGTATAGGATCCAGGAAGAAGCAATTCCTCAAGTGATTTCAAGTAACTTTTTCCTTAACGAAAATGTTAGCCGTGTTAACGAATTATTAACGAATTATTAAAATACCGACCAATCGGAGATCGAGTCTACGAATTCTGATGCGATGACCGGCTACGTTTAGGGTAGTGTTGGCTTTCAGCCGAGTTCGAGGCTTGTACAAAACAGCATATGTCAAACTACTGTTCCGCAACAGACAAAAATAATTCGGAATCCTAACAGAATGAATTAAACTGATGCGCAATGATATTTTTGAATAATAAGTAACTCCGTCAAACAACATAAAAGATGTATTTTTTTTTAAATATGTAAAAAATATTACGTTAATAAGAAGCACATTAATTTAATTATGAATCGGTCGAGTTTAATTATAAAAACTAGATCGGTCTACTGACCTGAAACAATGGGAGACAACTGCACAGCTGATCGCAGGTGTACAATGATGAAGAAGCGATACCGTTGGGTTTAAATAATAAACAGAACGCACGACACAGGATGCTGCCCCTACCGCTGTTCATGTCGAGCTCTAGTTGTCGTTAAAATGAATTCAACGATATACGATATTATGACATTGAGTCCCTAAATAATACTGAAATAGTTTTCCCGGCTTTTCGAGCCAAATACATACTGTACGTCGTCACGGCCCGAACCCCGACGTAGCGTTAAATTTAAAAATTGATCTGCAAAAGGAACGCTCGGCACTATATCCATATATTCATCAAATTTCTTAACGAGATGGGAATGGAAGGAGGGGCAAGGGGTTATTGATCCGTTAATAATAACGTAAATAATAATTCGTTAACACGGCTAACATTTTCGTTAAGGAAAAAATTACTTGAAATCCGTAACAATATGACTGTTCTTTTATATATCAAATACCTTTTTGGTAGTTCTGCCAACTATTAAAACAAGAATGGGGTAGTTATATGGAAAGGATAATAAGATAGAAACGACTCTGGTACACGAAAAAATGCAAGCAGAAGAAGAAAGTTTTTAAGTTGCAGAAGTTGGCTCGGATAGAGAGAAGAAGGCTCGGATGATTGCAAGAAAGCAACTAACTATATCAAACCAGAAAAGAGAAGAAATAGGCAGAGTAGGAATATATCTGACTTCTGGTGAGAATGGATTGATTATGAAATTTTTCAAAGCAATGTCCATAGAAACTTGTAAATGACTTATGAAAGGAAGAGAAAATCTGCAAAAACTGAAAAATATAAAAAATATATTCTATATTAGTAAGTAGAAAGGAGAATGAAGAAACGAATTATAGAAACGTTGTATTTCAATTACACTCATGATTAGAGTAATTATCAATTAAGCCAAATGTAATTGAAGAATAATTGTTAGTTATTATTTAATTAAATTACTATGTAAATAGGATACAATATAATTAAATTATCTGGCTGCTGATTGGTGCACTTTTGGATCACCAAATTTTGTAGTATATTGTATAAGACGTACGAAAAGAAATTCAAAGAGATTCATCAAAGATCTTTGCACAAACGCTGTAACTCTGTTGTTAAACACCTTAATTATTCTTTAAAATACTGTTGTTAAAACAATTATCTTGATCGATTAAACATTCACTCGTTATTAATTGCTAGTACGAAGTTAAGCATTTCGGAAAGTACCTTACACACAATGTTGCCTAGAGCAGTTTACCATTGTTCACTTCGAAACAGATACGACATTATAAATATAAAAATATAGGATCCATTGAAAAAGTAATTCGATCAAAGAATGTAATGAATGTTAAATTAAATCTCACTAACTCAATTTCTGAAAAAAAAAATACTTAAAGTATAGATTTTAATTTGAGACTAAAATGTGCTCTAGCTCTCGCTAGTTTTTCTACCAATTAAATATTAAATATAAAAGTAAATTGTGTCCTTTCTTCTCCAAATTATAAAAAACAATTAATGTATTTTTCTTAAACAAACTTAATTTCATTACGGAGCATTAGAACTCATAAGTCGGTGGATTCTAATTTATGGTAATATTCAAGATAATTTTTATGCATTTGAGAAATGACATAGGTTCTGATCTATGCTAAAATTGATGTAGAATCTTACTAGGAGGCAGCACTATACCACAGACTTAGGATCCGTACAGACGTTGCATCTTATAGGCTTTTCTGTCTGAGTTTTAGGGGTTCTTGAGCAGACCTCCCAGCATCCTGACCGTTCGTGGAATTTCCATTCAAGGCCAATGAGTCCATTGGTGTCCAATGGTGTCAGGGATTCTGCTCGGAATCTGCTCCAAATGGCTCCAAGTCACAAATGGAATTGGACGATTCCAATGGATTGTCAATCGAAATCCATTGGCATCATCCAATCCCATTTATGATGGGTAATTCTCCCACTCCTACTTTTCTGAAAAAAGTCGTAAAGCGGTCAGGATGCTCGGAGGCCTACTTAGAGCCCCCTTACCATTTCGTGTCGCGATCAGCATTACCGATAGTTCACGAAAAATAGGCACGTTAGCAAGAAGCGAATATCCTGTATATATCATTTCTACTACGAATGCTGAATATTATTTGGAGGCAGCAAGCGTGTACGGCGTGAATATTTAAGTGGTGGAAATAGTATTTATGAAACATGTACTACAGAAATACGATATAGTGTACAGTAAATTCTCTCCAATTGTCCCTCAGCTTGAAAACAAAAATGGACAATTTGTGAAGAAGAGATACGATTATTCGAGCCTCATGGCTTGTTTTTATAGTCACCGATTGTCAACAACTATAAAAACGAGTCGCAAGGGTCAAATAACCGTCTCTCCAATTCAGAACCGAAGACTATGAGTCTTTCCCATGCGAAATGTTGATTCAAAGCTACACCCTCCACCACTGGGTTGATCACTTTTTCCCCGCGCCCTGCCACCTAGAGGACTTCGGACATTTTACATGCCGAAAACACCACCCACATTTGAATCACCACGTTGAATATCGAGATGTGTGTGTGTGTGTGTGTGTGTGTGTGTGCGTGCGCGCGCGCGTGTGTGTGCGTGTGTGTGTGTGTGTGTGTGATACTTTCCCAAGAGATTGAACAAGCAAAGCCGCCATAGCAGAACACTGTGTCGCAGTCAAAAGCAAGCGCGGCGAACAAGTGAAGCTAGTGCAATAATACTCGACATTGTATTTACAAAGTCAGCGACTCGGATACCTCGGAGATGCTACCCTCCCCTCTCCCAACCGTACCCCCCATGGGCTCTTCCTGAGTCGGAAACCTTTGAGCGATCTTAACACTCCTTGACTAACAAGAAGAGATCCCCAGAGTCGATGCTCACTTTTTTTATGAGATTTGGTGATAGAGCTTGTAAAGCTGAAATCAATTAATTAATGTTAAAGTTAATAAAAGCCCAGAAAGACGCGCTGGATTACGGCGCGAGAGGTCTGGTAAGTCGGATCGAACCTCCTACCTTTCCCCACTCCCTAATATTCCTGGAATTACGCTGGTGCGATACCCTTTCGCTTGCATTATTGGGAACGGGGGTTCGGCTCTGACCGATGATGCCCGAACCGTGCACCGACTCACACCGTGCGTACGCTTCTTCATTCGGTCGAAACCGTACCGTTCCGCGTAGGGATATCGGTTTTGAACGGGTAATGCATACACATGTATACACGTTAGTTAATGTTGCATTTAAGCGATCACGGGTGAGCGAGACATAACAAAGTTAAAGGAGAGTTTTAAGATAATCGTAGCAAAATTTTTGTGAACTCTTTTTTCCGGAGTTTTTTATAAATTGATCTAGAATTTCTTTGTACCCATCTTTTAGGGGATACTGAAACGAATTCGTCAGGCTTTATAACATAGTTTTTTCCAAATCTAAAAAAAAAATTGTACATTTATCTATAAAAAAATCTTGATAATTTTTATTATATATGTATATGTACGAATATATCAGCATATACACAATTACAACGTCGTAATTATTTATACCGTTCTTAATATTTTGGTATCATAAATTGCATAAAGCTTATTATTAGAAGTTATGCAGATGTGAGGAAATTTGTCAGTATTATTTATAAACTACAACTATTTAAAATCATACTCATGTTCTATAGATCCATTAGACTAATATATTTAAATAGTCGGGCGGCATATACATATGTATAACAATTGTAATTAAAAAATACGTCAATTAAGAATTCCAAAATTTTTAACAATTTAATATGTATGTCTAAAAAATTAAAAATGAATTTATGAACAAGTCAACGAATAGCCACACAATTGTTTAATATTAGCATGTCAAATAAAAAATATAGCTTAGTGTTCGTTTCTGCTTTACTTTGGAGAAATCGCTTGAACGCTTTCGTGCAAGCATCAATAGTTTTCGTAGGGATATTGTAACGCGGCAACAATGTACTTTCAAAAGCTGGCAACGCTGTAAATTTAGCCACCTCAGCCATACCCTTTTTTCTGTTGCAGTCAAATATAGTTCACTAGTTGACCGTCTATTAGGTAGAGTCCGCTATCATACAACAGTATTTTGTGCAAAGTCGGTAATTCAGACCCCGAGACAAAAACAAAAGTATGTGATATCAATTAATTATAAATTATATTAACCCTTAGCGCTCCACGCGTTTCTCGAGTACTATCTACCAGCAACTCCGACACATTTTTGGAGCAAAGCGCTTGAGATAAAGAAAATCTTATTTTGAGCGGAAAAAATTATACGTCCTTGTGAAGGCATTTGATTTTATTCATTTTATGTTGCTAAGTATAAAAATGGGCAAAAAATGTTTTAATCGTAATGGTACACACGCTAAGCACGTTTTCACTACAAATAACAATTGCCAACGTCGACAAAAACATAGCATCTTCCGTGTAATCATGCTAAAAACAAACACGGATGTCTCCATAGCGGAGCCAACGGAGCGCTAAAGGTTAATTTGTTAATTTGTATAAAGTTGATTTTTCTTTATCACTTAGTTGCTCTGTCAAGACCAATTGAGACTGAAGAAGAGTCATCTGACGAATCAAGTCTAGCTAGCGAACTCTAATCTTTCTATTGACCAAAAAAAGAAGATAGGACGAAAGCTTGTAGGAAATTCAGAATTCCATGAAAAACAAAAATCAGACATTATAGAGCACACGTCTCAGAATTAAGTAAATAAAGTATTATCACATTTCACCATATATGTATTTGCGTTTAAATTTATTCTGTATACAAATCCTCCCGACCGCTCCATCGCTACACGGGTATCCGAACCAGCCAATTGCAGCCAGTATCTCTAAATTTCATTATACACAGAGCTCTCAGATGCCTGACCGCTTTACAACTTCCTTCCAGGAAAATAGGAGTGGGAGGATAATCTGTCACAAATGGGATTGGATGATTCCAATGGTTTTCATTGGCAATCCATTGGAATCGTCCAATCCCATTTGTGAGGTTCATCTCCGCCACTTGGAGCAGATTTCGAATAGAATTCCTGACACTATTGGACATGCTTGACACCAATGGACACACTAGCCTTGAGTGGAAATTCCAAGAACAGTCAGACGTCTGATCGTAACACCTCTATGTACGTATGAAAATTCTCATGCCTACATCACATGATCGAAACCCTAGTGACATCTTGCAGCAATGTATGTTCTGCATTGTGTCTACTTCTTTTCAATTGGCACGTTATATCCGGTTTACTGAAATTTTGGCGAGAAGACAATTGTTGCATCAATCTGACAATCTGTAACGAGTCAAGGTATATTTAATTATATTCATATGGTTTATAATAATCTTGTACAACCATCTGATATGCAAAACCTAAGGACGTTGAATTAATTGCACTTTAATATATAACTACTCAATTAATCGATCAATACGGCACATGGTGGATTCGTGAGTTTAAAGTTTCAGTACAAAATTTATTTATTGTCCATATACACACACACACACACACAGCTTTGCAAATTAGTTGGATTACCGGTTTGTAGACAATAATTATTTTATTGATATAATATATATGCCTAACTTACAGTTTTAACCTACAAAAGTGAATTCTTATTCTTCAAGTCACCAAACATCTGTTTGTCATTTATAATAACAATTGGTTTTTTGTTCAAATTATGCGTCTTATTATCCTGAATTAAAAAGTATTTATAGATCTAGTAAATCTAAAATAATAATTAAAATTTCAATTATTTGGTATTATAAAGATATATAACATCTATATAAACTTTTGTCTAATTTCTCTATTAAAATCAAGTGCAATAGTTTTGTTTAAGAAATGTTGATATAGTTGAAACAGAATTTATAAATTACAGGAACAACTCACATGTACCAGAATGTCAACTTTTCTTGGGCTTATTAAGGAGATACCTGGAATCTCAGTGGATCGTTTTGATGAAGAAAACTTAACATCTTCTGTGTTCTTTCTTAGTCATTGTCATTATGATCATATGCAAGGATTATCTGATGTATTTTTTGAACATTTAAATGTACATAGTAAATATCTTTATTGCAGTCCGATTACAAAGGCATTATTACAAAATAAATTTAATTTTAGAACTTCTTGTGTTAAGACAATAGATATTGATAAACCTGTTATTGTAGAATATAAACTAGACAATGAAGATAAAATTATTATTACTGTAACATGTGTCTCAGCAGGACATTGTCTTGGATCTGTAATGTTTCTTTTTGAAAGAGATAATTTATTAGTGTTATATACTGGTGATTTTCGCATTAATCCTATGGATTTTCCAAAGTTGAAAGGTCTACATTATCATAAAAATTCGAAATTAGTGCCTAGGACTTTTACTAAAATTTATCTTGATACAACATTTTTGAGTAACGATTTTCCTTCTTTCCCCAGTAGAATAAAAAGTATGACTAAAATGAGAGATGTTGTTCAAAACTGGTTAAGTGAAGACCCAAGGAACGTTGTTATTCTGGAGTGTTCTGCCAATTATGGTTCTGAATTTCTCTTTGTAGAACTTTCTAAACTTTTAAATATGAAAATTCATATAAAAGATTTTATATATAACAGTTATTGTCGAATTGGAGAATTATCCAATCACGTTACAAATGATGCATATAGTACTCCAATTCATGCATGCAAAAACAAATTTACTTCGCCAAATTTATATTGTCGACATGATGTGAGCATTGAAAACATCTTAATAATAATTCCATCTGTAATGAAATGGAGGAAAAAAGATACAAGCATAGTTGGAACATGGGATGATGTTAAAGAAAGAACTTTTAATATATGCTATTCCACTCATTCTTCTTACAATGAACTTAGAGCATTTCTTCAATATTTCAAAGCATTGGAAATATATCCATGCGTAGTTAAGACAGAAAGCGAAGAAGAAACTTATCGTTTACTAAATGAAATAACAGCAAAGTCAGATGAAAAGGTATCAGTGAAAGAAACATATGAATTAGAATTACCTGATTATAAACTATTAAATAAACCTTCATTTAAGTCTAAATATTTTAGCAGTGAT